CCAGCGGATGCTGTCCTCAGTGGAGAGCACCTCGATGGAGGCCGCCAGGATGCGAGTGACACCCAGGCCGTAGCAGCCCATTTCTGCCAGCTGGGCGTTGGCGACAGAGGAGTACTTGGTGCCCAGGTAAAACGTGTGCCCTACCTCAATCCCTTTGGTCTCACTGAGTTTCTCCCCACACGTGGGGCACGAGGTTTGCTCCCCGTTTAGCGTCTCCACGTTGGCAGCAAAATGTCCCTGAGGGCACAGCAGCAGCCTGTCCTCGCCGATGTCCGCCGGGAGCTGGAACTCGTGGGACGTGGTGCCGCCGATGCTGCCCGTGGCCGCCTGCACCTTGACAAAGCGCAGCCCCAGGCGGGTGAAGAGGCTGCAGTAGGCGGCACACACCTGCTCGTAGGTGCGCCGAGCCGCCTCCTCAGAGGTGTCGAAGGTGTACATGTCCTTCATGTAGAACTCCCGGCTGCGCAGCAAACCGAAGCGTGGCTTGGGCTCATCCCGGAACTTCCTGGTGATCTGGTAGAGGCGCAGCGGGAGCTGCTTGTAGGACAGGCCGCTCTGCGAGGCCACCAGCGCTGTCACCACCTCCTCGTGCGTGGGGCCCAGGCAGTAGCCGTGGTTGTGCCGATCCACCAGCCGGAAAAGCTCCGGCCCCATCTGGTCCCAGCGGCCGCTGGCGCGCCACAGCTCGGCCGAGCACAGGCTGGGCAGGTTCAGCTTCTGCCCACCCACGGCCTGCATCTCCTGGTCCATCACCTTGATCAGCTTCTCCATGGCACGGACGGTGGGCGGCAGGTAGGAATAGCAGCCGGGGATGGTGGGATGGATGAGCCCTGCCTGCAGCATCAGCCGCTGGCTGCGGCAGGTGGGCTCCCCGGGCCGGCCCTCGGCTCCTGCCTGGCCGCCCATGGGCAGGGCCAGCGGCTGGAAGAGCTGTGAGAGCAGAAGGCGCCTGGCCCTGCCCGGGGTGCCACCGTGCCGGGCCCTGATCCCGCATTGACGGGCGCCCAGTGCCAGGACACGGCACTTCCTCAACAAGGCCTCCATGGCGGGGATGGACAGGGCCCTGCGGAGAGAGACCAGGGGTCAGCGCTGACCACACCGAGTCTGTGGCCACCCTGACACCTTCCTACGTGCACCACAGCTCACACAGACCCACACACACCTGGTGCCACACACGTGAACGCTCTCCAGGATGTACAGGTACCCCTACACGGACACGTGACTGCTGCACAGGCACACCTGCACACGCAGCCAGGTGTACACACCTGCACGGCTCCCGGCATACCGGTACCCCATCACACCTGAGCGCTGCACGGTGCGTTCACACACCCCTGCACATGTTCTGGGACACACAGGTACGCGGACATGCACGAACGCGGCACGGGCACACCTGCACACACACACACACACACACACGTGGCTGCACGCGCACCCGGGTACACATGCGGGAACACCTTCCGGGATGCACAGGTACCGCTGCACGGCCACGGACACATGGTAATTCCGCGGGGGAGCACCTGAGCGCACACCTGAGCACACGCTCACACACACACCTGAGCACACACGTGCACACGC